CAAGTCAGTTCTCCCACCGTATCACACTATCGAATGATTTTAGTCTTGTCATACAAACCCTAATTAATAGCAATTGAATATATGTATAAAAAAATAAAATGTGGAATGTAAATGCGGAAATTTAAACCTAAGTTATTATATGACTTTGGGGGAGGTACATAAGTATAAAATACAGAAAGGTAAACCTACGCTATTACATACTCGGAGCAGTTACATAATAGAAAAAACGCGAGAAAAGTAAATCTAAGCTATTTACATTTGAGGAAGAGTCATATACACTTGATCTATGAATTTAAATAAACGAAGAAAATGGAAAAAAGAAAATATAAAAGAATGTAGGAAAAGATGTTTTTTTGTGATTTTGTATGGAAAATAGTTAAGTGATAATAGTTACTAAAAACCTAAATTCTAATTAATTTTAATGTTTGAAAAAATAGTTAATTAATTAAATAATTAGAAAGTTAAATATTAGTTATAAAACCTAAACCTAATTTATTAGTAAAAAAGGTTAATTTGATTAAAAAAGAAATTAGGTTAACCAAAAAATAGGGTTAGAAAAATCAATGAAATTAGGCTAAACCAAAAAATAAGGAAAATTGCATGGGGTGGGTGTTGAACCCACGCCCTTTTGGCCTTGTCCTACATCGCTTGCCACTGAGTCAAGTGCTCGTTGGTGTTAGGAAATAGTTGATGCATATTTCATAGGAATTCTTCATGTTAATTAGAATATAACAAAAATATTTGCAAGAGGCAGAGATCGAACTCACGTCCTTACATTCACAACCCAACGCCTTGATCAGCAGTACTACGCCCTTATTCATTTATCAAATGAAACAAGTTAAATATAATATAAAAGTGGATCAGAGAGGCGTCGGAGCCCTAGCTCCGGTCGTCTTCTCCGACGAGATATTTTTGTCAACCTGCAAAATAGCAATCGTTAATGCTCAAAAAGAACCCTAACCCCCTAAATTGACCCTTGCGAATCCATTGGTGGCCTAGTTTTGGCTAAATTGTCCTGCATAATGAGATAAAACGAAAAAAAACACAAATTAGTGTAACAATGGTAATAAGGTATTCTAGCGTTATGGGGCTCATGCAAGGGATCCAACCTGCATTGTTTAGTCTTAGTAACACGTTAGCATGGTTAGTTTCAATCAAAACAGCATAAAAAATAAAATACAAATTTTGAACAAAACATGAAATCGGTGATGCATGGATGCGTGTTTCAGGCACTTTTGATCATCAAGAATGATCCAAACTTACTTTGTAATATCTCTGGAATCATTTTGGATGGTTGCTTTCCCTTGAAGATGGCTGGAAAAAGGATTTCGAGTTTGCCCTATATTTGACAAAATTTGAGGTTTTGAGAGAGTGTCTTTGTGCAGCTTTTTTCGTTCTCTCTCTTTGTCTGAATATGGAGAGTATATATAGGAAGAGATTAGGTCAAAAGAATGGGCTTGGACCTTGTGTGAAACAATCTTTGATTTTGTTTGAAAATTAGATTGGAATAAGACAAAACCATGAAGATTTGTTTCAAATATAAGCTCACACGATTTGTAAGTGATCTTGGGGCCCCAAATAAAATCAAATCTCAAGCCTTTTAAGCCTTGTCCATTTATTTTATTTTTATTTGATTTAATTTTGAATTTAAATGAATAAACCAAAAATAAAAGAAATTAAGATCACAAAAATAAATAAATGGACTTAAGTGTCTCTTATGAGGTTAGGAACACGTTTGGACCTTAAAAGAAAGGTTCATTAGCCCAAAATTCAAATTTACTCAAATTGAACTTCATGCATTTTCTCAAAATTGCCCAACTTGCATAAATCATATCTCACTCAATTTTTATCATATAAAGGTGATCTTGGATTTTTTGGAAAGCTCAATATTTCCCCTACAATCTTCATGTTGGTCATTTTTTTATTTAAAGACTTTATCTTGATGTAAATTGTTTTGAAAAAAAATATCTTTTTGTTAACTTTTGAAATGACCTGTAATGTATTGGCCCATATATCTCAAATGAAATATTTTTGGCCTTGAGTTTAGAGAGACAAAGTTGTAGAGAATCAAATTTCCTTCAAAATGACCTTTGGTTGAGAAAAATATGATGAAGTATGTGAAAATTATGCTTGGTCAAAGTTCAGTTGACTTCTCCTTAAGAAAACCCTAATTTAGTAACTTTTGACTTTTGATGAATCTTGAGTTTTCTTGATGAATCATGACCAACCCTTGATCAAATGATGAATGTGACTTTAAAATGTTGATGTTGACCAAAAATCTTGAAGTTTGACTGTAAATTGGCCAAAGTTGACTTTTTGCCCAATACATTTGATTTTCAATCATCTGACTAATTGACTGAGAAAACTTATGCTGAAAGGCTTGGAATTTGACATGAGGATTCTTTGAGACATATGAGAAACCATGAAACCCACTTGAGTCATTAGAAGTCCAATTTCCTTTGAGAAAAGTGAAACCATAGTTATAGGTCAACTGCTTAGGAGGAGAGTTTGTATGGTCAACCCTTGAGTAGTCTTGAGCAATTGAGAGACCTATGAGCATGTCTTGAATGAAAATGGGAGGGCAAATTTTGGGGTACAACACTCAGATATTCATTTATCTCTAAATTGTTATAAATATTATATTCAAGGGGAGATTGTTTATCTCATTGGGAGTTATGATGTTCTTTATAATATTACCTTGTAAAATTGTTCCATCAAAACACGTGATTTTGTCATCATCAAAAAGGGGGAGATTGTTAGAACAAGATTTGGTTATGCATCTAATCTCTAGTTTTGATGATAACAATGCATATATTTTATATGTAACAATTTTGTGTTCTAATAGTTTCTTTAAGTGTGCAGAAATACTATTCTATTTGATTCAAGATAAGATCATTAAAATCATTGTTGGTACCATTAGAAGAACTATTGTATTCACTTCTAAAGAAACATCAGCAGTTCTGAAGAATGTTGAATGTTCGGTAGAAGAGAATATGCGTGTTTACTCCATATCAAAAATCAAGATGTGCTTGTCATATAAGCTTTTGCTTTCAGCTCAGAAGTCAAGATGTGTTTATAAGATAAGGATTTTTGTGTAAGATTTTGCTTCAAGCTCAAAAATCAAAGATGTGCTTCATGAGATAAGTTTTTGCTTCCAACTCAAATATCAAGGTTTGTTTGTCAGATAAGTTGTTACTCCATGTCTGAAGACAAGGTTCTGATTATGAAGACTCTGATACCTTTGAAAATATTAAAATGAAACGACTTCTGGAATATGTATCATTTCACATAAGAAATACTCCATCAGAAGATTAAAGAACAAAGACGTGATCCCTTCTGCACTCTCTTCACTACTTCATATCAGAAGTATCTCATCAAAAGAAAAAATTAGAAACTTGCACAAGAAGAATATAGTACAACAGTACAAGACATATTCCACTATGGTGAAGAAAGCTTTGTATGATTGAAGATTTGTTGTGCTCTTGTCTCCCACGATCACACGCTACTGTTGTAGCAGCTGGAAAATGAAAGTGATGTTTTGTACTATCCAACAGTTTACTTTCTCAACCTATATAAAGGGACGACTAGTCCATTGAAAAAATGATTCATCATCAAGAAACTAGTAACGAACCTATGTGTACGCACGGGTTCTGGTCTCGTACGTGCATTTGTTTACTTAATATATTTATTTTAAATAAAAGGTTAAAAAAGAAGGAAAAAAATATATCAATAATAGATTTTTTTCGTATATAAAAATATCTAGATCAATAATATATTTTTTCCCGTATATCATTTTTGGATCATAAATATTTGAATCATAAAAATCATTTTTCCTATATAAAAATGTTTAGATCAAAAATAGATTTTTTCCCTAATACAAAGATTATTTTAGTTTAGATATCATTTACAAAAATATCTGGATCAATAGTAAATTTTCATATATAAAAATATTTAGATAAATAATACATTTTTTCCCGTTTACTATTTTTGAATAAAAAATATTTAGATCATAAATACCATTTTTCATATATAAAAATATTTAGATCAATAATAAAATTTTCCCATATATAAATTTTTTTTTTAGGTATCATTTAAAAATATCTACTCAATATTTTTAATAAGCTCCCTTTTTTTTCATATATATTCTGAAAATGATATTTTTATAATAATAATGAGATGGACAGATATTCAGGATAATGAAAGCAATACTTGTTTTTCGAATTGATGTTGGGATTAAAGATGAGTTACCATAAAAGCATATTGGTAGAGATAAATATCCAACAAATGTGGCTAGAAGTTGTTTGTGTTTTAAACTGCATAATTGAGTATTTCAAACATCGTGAGAAAATTATCACACCTAATTGAAATAAAAGGTGTATTCCTCAAAAGTTAACAGACTCTTAAGTATAATCATTCAGATGAATTTTTTTTCAAATGTTCATCTACTTTTTTTTATCAATATCTTTGATATGTACAATAAAAAGAATTTAAACCAAGTCACCTATATAGTTAAAAATGTAATTAATATACACTGCACAACTTTCACTCAAACAATAATATGCAATAACAGTTCAAATCCACTATCTAATATAGAAAGGAAAAAAAATACATTATCAATCAATCACAACTATTAGATAATATAAAATATTTCATAAATTATAAATACTCAAATTATGCTAATACAATTCATGTATAACTTAATTGATCACTGAGATAAATTAGAATTTCAACCGTTTAAAATGTATGTTAAAAAGAAATTGTCAATGATTCTTCTCTAATTATTTTTCTGATCACGCGTGTGATTGGTTCTGATTTATTGACAAAGTAAAACCTTTTATATCAACAATATGTTAAAATTGAACTCATTTATGTTTGCTTGAAAATCTAGATAACATACAAATTTTAAAAGAAATACAGTCTAACTTTTCTCGAAGAGTCCAGAAAAATATCCCTGTTGTTATGCTTGGAAAATAAATAAACAGAAGATTTGCAACAAAACTCTATCGTATTAACATACATTGTTCATATGTACTTGGGCCCTTGGCCTTTTTTACAGTTTTTCTTGACATCCGTCGGTTTCCCCATACTATACAAAGAATTGATGAAGGGAGTTGTAATACATGTTCCTCCAAATCAAGTACCCACTCATTCATCGACTTCATTGATGCAACTTCTCTAAATGATCACATATTTAAACATGTAATGAGAACACGTGAGGTAGTAATCAAAGGAAAAAAATTTCACTAACATCTTACTGAGTTATGTAAGCATATGACTTTATTTCAAACAAATGGTAGCTTAAGTGGTAATACAATTACCTCTCTTTAGCTTCTTTAACCTTCTCTCGCCACATTTCATGATTTTTAATGAGCTTCTGATTAACCTAAGGGAAGAATGTTGTGTATAAATGGTAGAGTTCGAGCAATCAATATAGAAAATGCAGGAGAAAATTTACGTCAGCAACATCATTTCTTTCTTCAGTACACTTTTCTAGTTCATTTTGGATATCTAGCATTCCAGAAGTTGCGGCTTTCTCCACTGCTTCTGATATGGAACTTTCTGCTTTACTTTTTGCTTCTATTAATAAGGATTCGTAATAAGAAAACAAAAATGGTATGAAGATAATCAGATTTCACAAACAAAACATCATATTAATGCATTTAAAGATAAACCGATTGAGAGAATCATAACAACTGTCCCAAAGATCAACCAAAAAAATATTTACACACTTACGATGCCATGGTGTCAAAATCTATGTGGTATAAATCCAGCAGTCCCTTTTTTGAAGTAGTTCAAGAGACCTCCCAAATCTATGTGGTACACAAAAAATGACAGAGACAAAAAAATCATTAGCTACAAGTTGTAACTTTCAATCCCCAAACCCCTCAAGGCATCAGTAGCAGCTTCCTTACGGTTGGCATGTGTTTGCTTTGCCTTCCATATGTATTTCTCAATTCCATTATTAAGAAGAATAGTTATGTACAATGTAAATTGTTAAATTGTGTAAGCTGGAATTATTAAGCTAGAAAACCATATTGAATTATGGCACATGTTTCAAGATATCTATAAGTGATCAAATTATTGCACATGGTTAGAAAAAACTCGGATTTTATTTGCACTGTAAACATCACAAATTATGAACTTACCTGTTCTATAGGTTTCTCGCTACTAAATTTCTGATCATGAGACATAAGTTTCTTTGCATCTGGTGTGTTGCAGGAAATTTCTGCATGGCTTGAATAGCAAGGTCACCAACATTGGCTTTAATGGCACGGGCTGCATTTTCTGGGGATCTTAGCAAAAGCACAGAAATAATAGACATGATCTACATCACAAATAAAGTAAAATATATAAGACACACATATACAAACTTATATGATATAAACAAATATATCTGGAATTGTAAAGATAAAATTAGTTGAATTCAACAACATATTCAAACGCAGAACATCCACCTTTGTATGTGTTGTTGTTGTCTATATAATATGATTGACACTCCATTGCCACATATGATATAGTCGATTTGCAATCAGTTGAAGGTTGTGTGTGTATAACGAACTTTTGTTATCGATCTTCTTCCAGAACAATATCTGTGTACATTCGATTAAGTTGCACAAAGAAACCAAAAAGAACAGCATTGCATAGATATGACTGCCTCTTATTCTACCAAAGATATGGCTCATACCTTTACACATGTAGATATATAAGAGGGCCTCATTGAAACTATGAATTTAGTTCCTCATTTTAAATCTTTGACATTTTGCTCACTTGTAAAATCATGGCAAAAACTATCTTGTGCCAAGTGATATGACAATGTCTAGAATTGTCATGAGCGTTTAAAACAAAAATGGGCAAAACTGGCGAAAAACCTGTACTATAGATTATTAGAAAAAATTGAGCAACAATGTAATCATATCACTTGTTAATTAGAGTTTTAAGATAGAGTTGCCATAGATACGTAAACAGGAAAGTGTAAGATACCATATTGAAAGATAGTCATGGTAAACAACAATAAAATAGAGTTTTAACAGTGTTTTGACATGAGGTATTCTAAAGAGAAGCTGCTCCAACACCGATATTGACCACACATCATCAAGAATAATTAGGATTTGAGACTGGCCATCACATTCAACAATGCATTTCAAAGATTAAGTGTTAAAAATCAATACTTTTGTGCAAAAAATTAATACTTTTGTGTTAAAAATCAGTACCTCATAATCAAGTGAATTGGAAAAGGCAGCTTGCAGGAGAGATAATGTAACATTGAGAAGAAGAAGAAAAAATAGTTCGTGAGAGAGAAAGAGAGAAAGGAGGAGAGAGAATGAGAGAAAGGACGAGAGAGAGAGAGAAGAAATTGAATTTTTTGAGATAATGAGAAAGCTAGGAGAAAAAGGTGCTATGTTTATTCAGAAAGTACTTGGCAATTAAAAAAAAATACTTTTTCAGTTACCAGTTTTTTTTGTAGTTGAACTACTAAGAATAAAAGTGTGTTTGCAATTTGTACATACCTCAAAGTAAAGTAAGTATATTTGAATTAGAACCAATAATATAATTTAATTGTAAAAAGTAAATTTTGAATACAAAATGTCCCTAAACTAATGAGGTGGATGGGAAAGAGAAAAGGTTAATTTGGTATTTTCGAGAGCCATTAATTTTCTTATATTATAGATTTGAAAAGAAAAGTTATTGTACAAAGAAATTCATGAGAGAGAATACTCAAGAGAAAATTACCACATAAAGAGTTGTTGCTCATTTTAATGTTAACTTTTATTCTCTAAAAATACAAGGAGTTGTTGCTCATATTAGTATTTTTATTATCATTGTTGTATACACAAGAGTTGTTACTCATATTTGTGTGTAAATATTTGTTATTCATTGTAGTGTTAAATCTGTTTTTTAAAAGTACTATTGTAAACACTGTTTGGTTGTAAATCTGTTGAAATTTGTTTCCTCAAGTGACTAAATTGTAGTCTGTATATTTCAGAGGCCTAAGGTATTTTTCTAAACTCTTAGACGTTGTTTGTAATCTTTCAAGATTAGTAGAATAAGTCTTTTTCTAAGGCGAAATCACCTTGGCGGGTGGACAAGAGTAGCCTTTTCTAAGGTGAACTTGTATATACTGATTGTGTCATTTTTTCTTTCTAGCTTATCTATCATTGATTGTTTGTGAGAAGCATTTCAAAAGAAAAAGTTTTTGAAAACCCAATTTCAACCCTCATTTCTTGTGTTTTTCTCAACCTTCAGTATTTATACTTGCTTCCTTGTGCTTAAGGGTTTTAGGAATCCTAAGAAATAGTCATTCCTCCCTTATTCTTGGGGAAGGGTGTTTACTACTAATATTCTAGGGAGTCGTGGAACAACCTATTAAAAGTATATGTGTTAATTTGCACGTCATCCTAAAGGGAGGCTAGGCCTTTGTTCCTTAGCAATGTCGCCCAAGCGTCATCATACAAGGCAAGGATCCTATGATCGCCCTTTCCTGGGGAGCATCAAAAATATAACATTACACAGTCCCTCAAGCACGAGTGCTTTTGTAAAAAGGTCGAAGCGTTTAAACCATATTACGAATAACCCTCCTTGAGAGGGAACATTGCTTTTTTTCCTGGGCAGCGATCCCTTCACCTGAGGGTAGTCCTTCCTTAACTAGAATGGGACTTCCTTGGCTTGGGGATGAGTCATCTCCTCAATGACAAGTGTCTTCTTGTCGTGTGGGATATCCTTTTTGGGATATCAATCAGTCATTCAAAGAGACGTGCTTACTTGTATTTATGTAAATAATGGTGGTTAATACTCTCTCGATACCTTAAACACCATTGCCACATGCTAGTAGCGTGTAAGCTTTCGAAGTTTTATGAGAGGAAAAAGGTATAAAGTTCCTTCAAAAAGGTTTCGTTCTTTTCTCCTTATTTTATTTTAGACTAAGCAACTTTAGAGTTTACTCTCATCTACTTTCTTATTCTTCTTCATCCTCCAACTTCAATCTAGTAGGTATGTTTCTTTTTCATTGGTTATAGTAGTAAATAGAACTACGGGAAGAAGAAAAGAAGAATTACAACTAAGATTTGATAGAGAGTCGTCACCTTTCATTAACAAAATGTAACAATCGATTATGGAAAATCTTTTCGCTTATCCAATTGATTGAGAATATGCTTCAATTGATTGGACAATTCAAAATAATTGTCCTAATCATTATGATTATTTCAAATGCATCAGACTAGGCTCCAAAATATTTTTAGTTTGTTTTCTTTGAGATATAGTGGACTTAAAAAAGACTTTAGTGAGTGTGAGATTTAGCCATGTTACTTTACAAAAATTCTCTTGTGTTTTTACAAAATACTGATCACCTAGACACAGTTAAGCGGACTTTCACACTTCCTCTCTTTCACACTCTAAAGCTTCCAGACTTTGATGAATACACCAATCATACAAGCATTTTCTTGAGTCTTCTTGGAGATGAGGATTGATATATCTTCAAGTTGGATGCTATTATTAATGGTCATTAAACCCTAACTCTTCTTCGGCTTTATTTAGAGGAAGAGCTTGAACAAACTTTCTTGTGTACCTTTGACTGCTTGAAATAATTGCTTGACTTTATTCTTTAAGGTCATATTGTATTTCCATAATTTTTCATCAAAGGTTGCATCATCTCCACATGTTGTCATCATTAAAACCAAGTTTTCATCATCAAAACTAAACTATAATAGTCATGACTTGCTTTAACTTTGACCACTCCTTAATTAGACCTGCAAGCTTATTGTTCCACTGATGGGTCTTGTAACCTAAAAGGAAGTGGAGCATGAATCATTTTGGAAGGACCTGATGAAGTACTCTTGGTGCAATCAATATGTTTCAATTTCAAAACCATAAATAATCAGGCTGAGTACAAAGCTTTTATAGCGGGAATGAAGTTAGCCCGAGAGATAGGAACCATTCACCTCAGGGCCAGAAGCGACTCCCATCTAGTCACTAACCAGGTGGAGGGGGATTATAAAACGAAAGAGCCTTTATAGGCCAGATACTTACAATAAATCCTCAAGATGGTGAAGGAGTTCGAGACTTTCAAGATAGTACATGTCCCATGTGAAGAAATTTATGTGTTGATCTACTAGCAAAGCTCACCAATATCAAATAGTCAGGTCTTAATAGAACAATAATACAAAAAACCCTCGGCAATCCATGCACGAAAGTCAAAGGGGTCATGATGATTGAAAACAATGAAGGCTAGTTGACTCCCACCATGGAGTACTTAACCAAATAGCGTTTTCCAGAGGATAAGGAAGAAGCTCGAAAGATAAAAAGACTCATCGCCAGATACATTTCAGTAGCATGTAAACTCTAGAAAATAGGAATGTCGGCGCCCATGCTAAGTTGTATCTTTGAAGAAAAAGTAAGCCTAGTGTTGGCCGAAGTGCATAAAGGTATATTTGGAGCCCATATCAGATGGAAAATATTAGCTAGCAAGCTCTTAAAAGTTGGGTACTACTGGCCGAAAATGCTAATCTAACCTTTTAGAAGGAAATTAATTGCAAATCAACAGTCCAAATTAAAAGTTGAAGAAAGACCTAAGGGGAGCGAAATGACTGTTCCGCAAGAAGCATTGGTGATTCAAATATACTAGAGTACTTTAAGCAGGGAAACCACACCCTAACTTGAAAACCAAGAGCCACACACTTAGAAGGAATGACGAAACATTTCAATGATAAGAAAACATTTAATGCATTTGTTTTCCACTAATTTTATAACTGATCTAGAACATATTTATTTCTGTCCAAGGTCGAACATCATTGCTAGAGAGACCAATCACAACTTTGAAGATTTCTCAACTAATTTTTACTTTACAATCTTTGAGAGTAATTATTTTGAGTCGGCCAAAGACCCAAAACAAAGGTCCAATCAAATGTAAGCTCAATCAAAATGATTAAACTTATAAAATTAACACACATGAAATTCAAGTTATATTAGATGGACTCATTTTGTCATTCTCTAATTTTAAATATTATATTTAACTATATTTTAAATTTAATTTGACTAACGAGTAGCAAGACAAAGTTGCCATGCGATCAATTATAAAAAGCTAGAACTCTGTACTGGACATGATTTTGATAGTGGCAAAAAGGGAAAATGGAGCGCGATTCCGATGTCGGAGAATGAAAATTTTACTCGCCGGTGAAGCTCAATCCATGTTCTGAACCGCAGCTAAAATGTTCCTCCGCGTAAATGTACTACCAAACCAAACCCTACCTCATTTTTTTTCTTACTTCAATTCAGTTCAATCATAATCTAACATTTTACAGTTACAGGAAACTCCACACTCAGACGACAGCATTTCCGGTAATTTCTACTAATTCAATCCAATTACAACTTAATACCTTCTTAATTGCCTTAATTAATTTCCAGATGACGACGAGCTTCAAGCTAATCGCACCAACAACGCGCTTTCATTACAAAACAAGGTTCACTTCATACCCAAGCTTATACTTACTCTATGTTATACTAAAAATAAATCTCGTTTTGTTAGTCTAATCATGATTAATTACCGCTCTCTTGTTAATTGGAGCAGGAAGAACTACCTCTTCCGGCGCGGTTAGATTTGTTAAAAGGTGTCTCAATACAGGTATTAGGAGTCTTTGGATTCTCATGTAGCACTGACACCTCTGAAAAATGGGGTGTCTCTTGTCAGACACCGACACCTACACAGACACTACTGACTACCTTTAATTTATTCATTTTTCAAATTATTACCGGTGTCAGTGTAGTGTCGTGTTCGGGTATCCATGCTTCATAGCTTCTCATTACACTTTCATTGCTTTCTGAATGATTTTTTAAGTTCTTAATTGTTATCTACAACTACTATAATTTTGTATTATTATTGTTGTTGTTTATTTATTATTAATTTATTTCTATGGCTGTTAACAGAATTTGCTCGAAGATGAGGAGGTTGAAATGCCCGACTTCAATGAGAGTGGCTTCCAGGGTGTCTTAGGTGAGGTGGTTGCTGATTCGGGAGATGAAGACATTGTTTCTGAAGACGAGGTACTCTCTGATGTTCACATATAGAATGTTTTTTAGTTGGCATGTATTAGTTTATGCTGTTCACTTTATCTTGTTTGTTTGGGCTATTGTTAAATGGTTTCATCTTTTTTGTTTGGAGTAAATAGTCAAATTAGTCTTTTAAAAGATATATTGTCGGTTATGTTAGTATATCAATAATGGAAATATCATGCCCGATGTTTCTAAATGTTCATTTGTTTAGTTAAACCAGTCCTCGCAATACAGTGGCCACGGGTGTAATTTGCATTATTTTGGGACTAATATGATATGACCAATGTTGTATCTTTCAGAGGCTAAACATGGTTATTTACTCTATATTTGCTTAATCATTTAAGGGTAGCACTGTCCTCTCGACCAGACTCCTCCATAAATATGGTCCTCAATATATCAGAAATGAAGAAGTTAAAGATACAAAGAGGAAATCGGAAGCGTTGCTTTGTTTTAAAGAAAGTGCTTCATGTTTGGCATCCCATGCTACCTGCTCCAAGGCAAATTCATCTGGTATCTGCACGAAAGAAAATGCTAATTTCTGGGTTAGAGCACGAGTTACTTGCAATTCCCTGTTGAAACTAAAAATATTTGTTAGTGGGGTTTCTTGTTGAACTTTGAAGTCTCTTATATTTCTTGAGTGTCCTGTGTCATCTTAATACTCGCTACAGAATTATATATGCGCTCTAAAAACAAGTAAGGTCTTTCTTTTTCAGAACTATGTTTAATAAGAAGTCAAATTTATAAGCTCTTGTAACTGATGAGATGATTGAAGTCTAGGTCATTGGCTATTAATTCTGTAGATCTGTGCAACCATAGACATATAGATGGAGAATCAACTAAAGCAATTTTTAATATTTTTATCTGGGCCATGGTTTGTTGCTTTCCCTGCAATAATTTTACAATGTATCAGTTTTTGGTGACTTTTATTCCCTTGTTGGTCAAACCCATGATATAATGGTAACAAATTATAGTTTTTAATAAGGAGAGAGGCACATGGGAAACTGTATTTCTATGCTTATTAATTTGCTCTTGTGTTTAAGAAAATGGATGTTATGGATAAGGAATATGCCACATTTTTAATAACGGAGTAAGACACCATTTTTGCAAATTTTGCCAGTTCCTCACCTTTTGTCAGATGAAGTCAAATTCATTTGTAGCATCTAGAATTGCAGATGCATCTTGCTATATGTGGAGTTTGGACGTCACTGTCGTGTCCTGAAACTTTTTTCTTCTTTACAAATGATAGGATCTAGCTTTATGTTTAATTCACCAGGATAGTAATCACAACTACATTAATATTTGAATGAAATATCTGAATATTATATCAAATTGATAACTGTTGCAGGCATCTGGAGCAAAGCTAAGACAAAATTTTCATTTTCATCAATGGCAACTAAATATGGACACACTGGCCCTTCAATCTCTAATATTGATAGGCTGCCTGAAATTATGGAAGGTGTTAACCCTAGGGCTTCTGCAAGTTTAGGCGGAAATCATCTTGAAGATGATGATGACATAGTGGAATTAGATTTAGACACGGAACCTCCTGAAACTGAAACTCTTCCACATGAATTTAATCTTCCCGTAATGGCTGATCTCTTCGACCACCTACAAGATAAGACTGATCTGGTAGGTGGAAATTTTAGCACTGCTACCTTTATTCTTTGACACGTGTGCACTTTTTCCCTCTATAAGATCCTTCCATCTCTATTTTCCAGTGTCCACATGAAAATCAAAGAAAAGGAAGACCAGTGCAGCTTTTTCAGAAGAGTAGACCCCTCTTGCCAGAGACAGTTGTTGACAGTGAAGACTCACCTGAACCTGTGGATAGCGGATCATCAAGTGACAATGAGGTATTACTGTTCTATGATAGCTCCTGTACTTGCTAGTCTATTGTCATATCTGGCTTTAATTCTGTTTGTTTGTAGGAAAGGGAGCAACACATGAAAATTACTTTCCCTGGAAAGAAAATGCAGACAATGACAGATAGATTTCACAATGCTTTAGGATCTTCGTCTGTTATTGCTGAAAAAGTTGGAGTACTCAATCTATTGAGGTATAAAATTGTAGTTTCCTGGTATTTTTAACAATTGAACCATAGAATTCAAACTATTTCTGAACTCAGTGTGTGATTGATTGTCTTGCAAAATTGTGCAGAACTGGAATTTTTGAAAAACTGCAGCAGGTGATGCAGAAAGAAAAAGAAAGAGACATTGACTTCTTGAAGAAGTTACATGCTGGAGCTAGGCCTGATAGTAAAACTTCTGCTTTTACTCTGTCTGCCCTTTTCTTTGTTGTCTAAGTAAAACACCATTGTAGACTTCTATATTGCACACACACATCACAACCATTCATTAGTAGTTCTTTTTCTTTTCATTTTTTGGGGCTGAGATGATGCTTAAAACAGATTTTACAGTTGTTTTTAACACACACCTGAACAGAGATTTTTTATTTACAAAGAAAAAAATTATCAGGTGAACTTGGCTGTGTCGATGTAAACATCATTTCAAGATATTTGGACGGAAAGCTGATTGTTTGTCATTGCTCATTAAGCAAGTATCCCGAGGTGAAGTTATAAAAATAAACAGATTCAATTTCTATGGTCTTTTTTTATATCCTTGTTATTGCTCTGAAAGTTTGTACTTTATAGCTTGGTTATTTTAGAATGCAAGACCAATCTGACACCAGCAAGGCTTTTATTTCTAGGGTCTGGCTAATGAGTCCTCGTGGACCCTGAGTAAGCAATCAATAAATAGAAAGTTTTTATTGAAAAGTACAACATTATCATATTAAAAACTCCACTTTCTAATAAAAAGTTTCTGTGTTTGTTTCCTTAACTAACACTCTGAAGGCACTCATTAGCATTTGTCTTCTTTCAATAGATATATGTTTACATTTTAAAGAAAAAGTTATTTAGATGCTCGTTCAGTTTTATCTTATATAGTTAAATGGCTATTTGAGTGTCATAATAAATACCCTTTTTTTAATAGTTTGTATGTTGGGAAGGTTCTAAACACCAAGACTAAGTTTTCTAATAGAATAATAATAACCATTACTAGCTGCAGCCTGCAAGTAAAGGATTTGGTTATTCAGCATGATTGTCTGTTGGGTTAATACAAAAGAGATCATGTTAGTCGTGGAAAATGGAGTCTCATAATTTTCTTCTACTATCTAGTATTAGCTGTTATTCTATTTGATTTAGGAAGATATACTAGATTGATATTTTAAAAGATTTTTTCATAACTTGTTTTATGGTATTCAATCAAGAGTTGTACCAGTGAGATGATAATTTTACTTTAAATAGAAAAATAACCTACCTGTAAGATATACTTTATTAATGTTCAGATTAAAAATCGATGGAATGTGGTCTGTTGTTTTTGCAGAATTTTCCACTACAAGCTGAAGGAACGGGGCTTGGTGGTAGCAAAGGTGGTCAAAGAACCATTATCTTTAGTCCAAGAGTTTGCGACAATGTTGACCTTGAAGTGGGGAGCTTAATTCGTATTCATCCACCGTGGTAAGATTATACATTTGTATTTTTATACAAAAAAATTTGAGCCTAGCTTAATTGTATTATAACTTTGGTATTTTATATCTCCACCTTGCTAGGGGATCTCAACTTGCTGTGAATTGCAAGTGTTTTTGTTTCTTGATCAATTTTGGTTTTGGTTATTGAACAGGAACGAAGTTCAAGTGGAAAATGATAATATTATCTTGTGTTCTTTTTTCTCTGAAATATCGCCCCCAATTTGATTCATGTGATGAGGGCATGAACATGTAATATTCATTCTTGTTTCTTACAAAGCAAGGAAAGTCATGCAAGCCTCCATTTGTAGTGAATAGAATAGCAATACTCACGAGCTAAGGACACCTTCGAATTTATGTAAGGGAAATTTTAGGTTTTTTTTTTTAAATTTCACTAACAGTTGCTAGCTAACTGTGCTATAGTCAAGGGGGTTTGTGTTCACTGGAAAAAATAGAGGGATAAGGGTTACATTTCAATAGAACTTAGGGGAGTTAAATGCAATTTTCCCTCAAGGTAAAGTTAGAGTATATAATATTTGTCCTTGAGCCTGTATGTTGAGTTCTATAGTATTCATAACTAATGATGAAGTTTTAATTTACTCATCTAGAAGTAAAAATAATCACGCAGCTGATTGTTCTGCATTACATATGTAATTTCTCTCCACACACATTAGTAATTGACAAATATTCAGTTTTTTTTCCAATCTAACCAAGTTTTTAGGTCAATAGTTAATAATCTCCCCAGACATTCAGGTTTTGATATGTTTAGTCCATAAGCTTTTGACACGAGGACAATCTCGAATGAGATGAAGAACAGATTCACTAGCAGCAAGAGTTTGTCTTGATCAACCATCATGGACAGTTAAACATCTATTAATTTGGTTTGAGTTTAATATATTTTTAATACCATGAAATAGGAAAATTGTTGATTTTTATTTTTTAAATTCAAAAAGTTTCTTTAGTTCTTAATATACCGTTCGTGATTTTTTTCAAAAAAAAATTGACTATTAATTATTCTTAAGTTGACATTGTTAAGTGAGGTTAAAATTCTAAATAGAAATAGGTCACGTATCCTTGATTTTAATTAGACTAGATTGTCAACCGAGCTTCACACGGACATATTAGAAATAAAATTATTTTTTATAATAGTTGATATTTAATATTTTATTTGCATGTAATGTTATTTTGTAGGTCTTTAGATTATATTTACAATTATTAATTTTTTAATATGAAAGACTATAAATTAAAAAAAAAAAATTTTAATCAATAATATGTGAGATTAAATTATACATATTTATATTATATTTATTTATATAGACATATTCTCTAAACTTTTATTTATAAGAAATCGTAAAATTTAGAATTTTATTTTATATGCGAGATTTATTAACTCATTATATTAATGATAAATTTTAATTAATAAATAAGTTTAGTTATTTTTATTTCACCCTAATAAATAATAAATAATTCATTAAAAAATATTTTTGTTTTGATTTGTTTTAGAAATTTATATTTATTTTATCATATCATTAATTTGAAGAAAGATAGAAGATATCATTTTATGCACATCATTGTATGCAATTTAGATTACACAATAAAATAATTGATGTTTTTTCTTTTATATTTTTTTCACTTATAAGATATATATACAATTTATTGCAAAATTCATTTCATAAGTAAAAGTTGATTAATTTCAATCTATTTAAAAATTAAACATAATAAAGTTATAATTTAGTTATCAAAAGTAAAATTTATATTATTTTTAGGAATGACACAAATTTATTTTAAAAAATTAAATAATAAAATTAATTGTATCCAAATAATCATAAACTATAAAAAAACATTTTTAATAATAATTACTCTAATTTAAATAAATGTATAACTATTAAGACAAAATAAATAGAAATTATAGAAATATCTATACTTATATAAATTAAGTTATTATTAAGATAAAATAAGTAAAAAATATAATTACAAACATCTAAACTTATATAATAACAAAAATAGATTAAATATTTAAATTAATAAATCATTATAATATTATTAATATTTTTAGTGCTAATAAAAACTTAGTAGAATATGAAGTAAAGGAAACTTAAAAATTATTTGTAGTTAAACCAAAAATAAACTATTGCTCCTATTAAATTACAGTTCTTCAAACACATTTTTAACACGTGAAGATAATCTACAATAACATTAGATATTTTACCAAGACAAATAACAAATAAATCATTAGATCTTTAAATAGCACAACTTGTAATTTTAGAAGATAATACTTCAAAGACTTATTACTTTTAAATATATTATTGTTCATATTGTTGATCATATACAATATTTGAATTGTCAAACTATTTTTTACAATGCAATCCATTTCAAAATAGTAATTCAAAATTATGAAATTATGATATCAATAGTAAGAAAATGAATAATAAATATAGGACATAAAAAAAATTACCACATAAGAATTCATTTTTCGATAAAATTCTTAAATGTATCTTCAATACCTGCACATAATATTTTATAAAATGAAATATTATGATCAATCTTTCAATAAAATTATCAAATATATCTTCAAAATCGGTACATAATGGAAGATTATTAAAATAAAAAAGAAAATCTAACAAAATAAAATAAAAAATTATGAAAATGAAAAAGAAAACCTATGAAGAAATAGAGTTTTAGGAGACAAATAAGTGTATAAACTGATAAAAGTTAATGAGTCACTCTATCCCTCTTAAATATCATTACAAAATCAATAAAAATTCAACCATAAATACGAATTAAATAGTAACGGTCATAATTAAATATTTCAATTTAATAAAATTGATCAAAGACATGAAATTATTATTTTATTATAAAAAAAAAGATAAATATCAAATTAATTAGTCATACATGACATCTAAAAATATTTATACTAATATATTATCTAATTTATAATTAAACTTATTTAATTAGATAATTAATTTTAAATAAATTTTTAAATTCAGCATCCTTTTATTTGTTAATTTTTAATTAATATAAACTTTGATCAATTCAATCCTCCTTAATTTTAGTTTAACTATATATATATTCTTCCATTTTAATAATTTTAATTTTAAAATATTTTATCTATTTTAAATTATTTTACCCGTGATTTTATATATTTTTATTCTTAACTTTCATAATTCTTTTCTTTTTTAAAAGGTTCAATAATATTAATCATATTAATTTATAACAAATATATTAATTATTATATAAATTATAAAAAATTAATGAAAAGTTAACTGTTTTTATAGTAAAATTATTTGGGAGTTACATTTAAATTTTTTTAATACTAAACTATTATATTATATTTGTTAAATTTTAAAAAATTTCTTAAAACTTATTTTATTATATAATGTTAATGAAGTTAATAGTCTAATAATTTTTTAATTTTGTAACTTATAGGAAGTAAAGAAAATGATAATTAGTAGTAAAAAATTTCTACTCAATAACTAAAAATAAATAAAACTAGTTAATTATAAAAATTTAAAATAAATTTACGTGTATTAAAATCTTATATATATATATATATATATATATATATATATATATATATATATATATATATATATATATATATATATATATATATATATATATATATATATATATATATATATATATATATATATATATATATATATATATATATATATATATATATATATATATATATATATATATATATATATATATATATATATATATATATATATATATATATATATATATATATATATATATATATAAAATTGATATATTAAATTGATAATAATAATAAAAATATTTTTTTTAAATATATTTTGAATCCAAAAATATATATTAAAATCTTATTTATGTTTTTTTATTTCTTCTCTATTATAAATTAATTTGATTGTTAAAATGATTTTGTATAATTAAATTATTATTATTATTATTATTATTATTATTATTATTATTATTGTTATTATTATTATTATTATTTATATCTATTTATTTATTTATTTCTTATTTTTATAGTTATGGCTCTATATTATTATTATTATTATAATATCTTTTTTTACAAATTAATAAAATATAAACTCGGTGAAGAACTTGAAAAAAAGGATGATATAGAGATATGAATGAGTTTGATATAATTAAATTATAAGATTGAGTAAGAGATTAATTCAAGTTTTTAGTTAGTTATATAATAATATTTAATAATTTAGTTTAAAATAGTTATCAATTTTCTCAAATAATCATAACATTGTCTAATCTCTGAATTTTTATATTTAATATAAAAGTAATGCAAAAAATCAAGATTAACGAATTTTTTACCAATTTTTTTACAAAAAGAAAAAATTATTCGGAAATTAGGTATTATTTGGTAAATGAATAATATTTTATTATTTTCTTTAATTATATAGTTATATATTTCTTAACTAATTAGTATCTTAATGACAATAATATTTTTATTAAATTAATAATTATAAATTTAATTTAACCGTAATAAATATTTTTAAATAATTAATTTCTCTTTTCATCTTTTAGTTTTTAAGTTTATTATAAATTTATAATATTAATTAATGAAAAATTATAATGTTAATTAAAATTTAGTATTAATATAATAGATAAATGGATGGTAATAGATAGAAAATACATAAAATAATAATCAAAAAATTATTGATATAAAAATAGGAAATATATGAAAAATGATATTTAGAAACAACTAATATTAAAATAATAGAAAAAAGTTACAAAAATCAAATATTTTAATTAATAATAAATAACTAATTAATTATTAGGTCAATATAGGTAATTTTTTTATTTTCAATTAAGACAAAAAATTTAAATTAAAATATACAAACTCATAAATATGATTTGATCTTCTTTTTTTCAAATTAATAAAATATAAACTCATAAAGAAAAATTCATCATTGTAGTATATTAGTTAATATTTGATAATTATTAAAATGAAATTCATTTTTATTTTTTTTATTTTTTGTTTTTATATATTATCATCATTATAGTGTATTGGTTATAATGTTATTGATTATTAAAATAAAATGTATGAAGAGTTTTATGAATTTTATTTTTAATTTATTATTGTAATTGAAGTAGGAACATAAATATGAAGAGTATTATTATCATAACTCATAAATTATATTAATTTTAAGATATTATAATTATATCAATTTTATTATTATTTTTATTTAAAATAAATTTAGATTTTGTGAGATTGACAC